CGGCGTATTATTTGTAAACGATCTAAATACTAACAACGGTAGTGACTCCCCATTCTTATATCTCTTAGAATAAAAGAGGAAGAAGCTTCAAATTTGGATAGTTAGGTTACTAGTAATCTCTTCTCAGGGGCGTGGCATATCGAAAAATACACTACTTTTCACATTTTTTTAGCGTAAGAATTCAAATTTTGAATTTAGTTTACCGTTAGCTTATTCTAGGAGTGTCTACGCCCAGTAGAGGCGTGGCAAGTCGAGAAAAGCAGAATTTTCTACAGTCAGTAACGCCCGATTGCATTGTTCTCACTTGCTTTTTACTAATTATCGTCAACGCGAGTATACATTCCGAGTTTCAACTTTATAATTCTGCAACTAATATTTCTGATATATCGTAAAATGTAATTTACCATTTATCTCTTGACATTTTAAAGTTCTAGATATGTTACGGACAGTAAGTTAGACATTGTCAATTAATATATTGTTGGGGTTTCGAATAGTGCTTACCATGATTTTTTATTGCTATTTTAACATAGTCAACCATAGTCATGTCTTTCCTAAGGAAAATCATTTGAGTCTCCAGTAGATCAAAAGGTGCAACTATACATTGGCTACAGGCGCCAGATATTCCGCCGCTCCACCAGCGTGGTATGATTCTGTAAAGTAGTTGCCGAATGTTTAAGTGAGATAAATTATATGACATGTACTACTCACTTTTTGTTGTCATCCGATACCTTGGTGGCTGCTAAGAAATTCGTCAATTTTTCGTTCTCGGGTGACATTCTTTCAACGTGTTTTTTTCTATTTTCAGACCAAAATGGTGTAACTATTCTCAACTTCCTCCCATTAGGGGATACTGTCGAATTATATAAAAATAAGCTATTAAATGATTAATAGAAAAGTAGTATCTCAAATTGTATATGTTGTCAACTTGGTAATGCCCTACAAGCTGGATGCAACAATTGTAATTTAGTTAAGTGGTTTGGCCTTCTGCAAAGCTATTCCTTTGGTAGCCAATTTTGTATTAAAAAACAGAAAAGCAATCAATATTTCTAAGTAAAATTTAGTTTGCCAATCTTATTTGAGAGCTATAACTATTTTTAAAAGTTATTATGACATTGATAGCAAATGCTTTTGCTATAACGATACTATTTTGAAAACTTTTTTATACCCTGAACATTGAAAATGGGAAATCAGGGTGCAATGGTTTCGCGGAACCTTATGTAACAGGCAGAAGGAGGCAGAATAATATATATTCTTGATTCTTCCGAATTTATAACAGATGCATTTCCGATACTAGAGACTTGTGCTTCGGCAAATATACGGATTTTAATATTGCTATGCGGGACTATGGGGTACATGTTCGTACATGGGGTACATCTGACACGTTATTTCACATTTAAAGGTGTCATTACGCCCGTGCTGTAAGGTGTTTACATGTGCGAGGAGATTGAAATATCAGTAGCACGAGATCGGTATGTCGTGCAGCCCTCTTACATGTTCATAAATATTTTCGATTTTTGCTTTTCATTGAAACATCTAATTGAGATATAATTGCGTTAGTTCTTACTTGCTTTATTGCTGCGAATAGGTGGTAAGGCCAGTCGTCTTAGAAATGTGTATCTCCTATTCGGGAAGTATTGCTTTTTTAAGTGCTAAGCTTCTGTGTCATGTGTCATGATTGAGACAGACTTTTTGAACATTTAGAGTCTAAAGCTTGGCTGTCACTGAAATATTAATTTAGATAAGCATTTACCATAGTAGGTAGTTAGTTTTCAAAATTTGTACTTTCGCTAGAGAACATTGTTATTTTTAACTTCTTTCTGCATTGGTGGAATGTCTAATTTGGGTCATAGGTATAGGCACATCACAAGGTACTGGCTGACGATCGCGAGTTACGGCGACCACGATGGTGGTCTGGAGGAGTGGCATCCACATGTGTAGCTAGTATATTAGCACCTTTCGATTTAATCAAGACGCATATGCAAACACAGAAAAAAAAAAAGAGTATGTTAAAGACAACTGTCAAAGTTATACGATTAAGAGGTGATTAAAAACGTATTTTGTTTGCATTTACCTTAAGATGTTTTCATCAATCATTATTGTATCGTAGGCTTTTTAGGTTTTTATGATGGTTTTACAGCGGCTGCGCTTCGTCAGTTGACATGCTCAAGTCTTCGATTCTCCCTTTATGAGAACGGCAAGCACCTAGAGATATTGCAAAACTCGAATTCCATTTTTGACAAAATTTATATAGCCAGCTTTGCTGGCATAGTTGGATCATTAGTTGGTTTACCAATGGATGTTATAAATGTGCGGATGCAAAACGATATGAAATATGCTGGCAACTTAAGACGGAAGTACATATTTGCTATTCAAACTTTTCAATGCATATTCGCACTTTAATTTTATCGACACTATCATAGTTATAAGAGCGTTATGGATGCTCTGATCCGAATTCCCAAAGAGGAGGGGTGGATGACCCTATACAGTGGTGGAATCGCTGCAGTTCTAAAAGCAGCGATTGGAAACAGTGCCCAGCTAGCAGTCTATGACCAAGTAACTACTCTTTTTTGACTTCACATGTAATAGTAATTGTGTACATATATCCTTTCTGACCTGGATTAGGTTAAAAGTGAGCTTCATCATCGCTTTATGTTAGAAGACGACGTGCATTTACATTTTAAGAGTTCATTGATCACGTCCATTATTGAGTCAATTATTTCACAGCCCTTTGACGTGCTGAAGACTTTAATGATGAATGCACCACCCACACAGTTTCCTACGGTTTTCCATGCTATTAAATATATGATGCGTTTTGGGTATTTGGGCCCCTACCGTGGATTGGTGCCCACAATTGCTCGAAAGGCACCAGCCACAATATCATTGTTTATAATTTATGAGCAGTTGCGCCTTAATTTAGGTTATATTCCTCTCGACTCCAAATAATGTCAAAATTTGTAGTTCATTTTACCCCTGAAATTTTTACAGAAGTGGCCAGCCTTACGTTTGTCACCTATTGACCTAATTAAAATAAATTCGGTATTATAAACTCAGATTAACTGATCAAATGTATACAACGAGCCTAAGTCCCAATTAAAATTTTCTTGAAGACTAATATGCAATATAAAAATAAGTTATAAAATCAAATCTATATTAAATGTTAATAGCTAAGCTTTACAAATACTCGCGCAAATCATCATCTGAGTCAATATCAAGTACATATACATAAAATAACACACAAAGATACACCAAACGCGCTCCAATAACTCAGTAACAAAAGCAACAAAAACAGGCTTCGGCCACGTGCGCTGCGTCAGTATTCCCGCGGAGTTAAAGAACAACAACAAACCGAAGCGGCATCGGCAGCAATGTCAGCCAGTTAGCTTATCGTGAGTTAATCACCGAACGGTTTTTAATAATTGGCGCCCGAGCAGAGGCCCGTGGAATTGTAAGTAAAACATCGAGCTCAACATTTAGATCGTGCCTAATCGCCACGCGTTGTTTGTTAACGCAATCCGCAGAAGAACGCGTACGAACTCAAAGCTGCCAGAGGGTCCCAAGTCACATAAAACGCCGCCCTACGTCGCCGGAAATAGGACAAGAATAGAGAGTCGCCGAATGTATAGAATACTTGCGTGAGCTAGTACATAAGAAAGAATTAAATTAAGTGAATACACAAGAAACGAAGAACAAGTCAGAAGACTCTTGTCGACAGTGCTCGACTAGATACTACCACTGACCAGATAACACATAGACTAGACATGTAGTACAAAGTTTTTCAACACCGAAAAATCTGTCTCGTAGGTCCCAATCAACTTCGTATTCGTCGTCACTTCACTTTCAGGTTCAGGCTACAAAAATAAACAAAAGCATAATCATTTCGCTTCATGCGCTCGACCGAGATGGTCAAATGTTAAATAAAAGATGTCTCTATGGTCTATTTTTGTTCTTGCTCTCTCGCTCTCTCTGCTCTCTCAAATATGTATATATGCATGTGAGCACAAACAGCAGCACACGAAAATTGAAATTTCTTCGCAGCAAGAACCCATGCCATCCCTTCTGTGTGAAGAGTATACCGAACTCTTCAAACTGTTTGCCAAGCTCGTCCAAAATATTTGTGTTTTTGTTATTATTTGTGAAAAGGGTATGATAGCGAGCGTGCACACACACACTACAGTACAGAAATTATTACGGCAAAAAAGAATTATCACAAAAATATTCATAGTTTATATATAATTACAAAAAATTCTCAAAAAAGCCGAAAAAATGCCGAAAAAAATAATGTATATGCCTGTGTGCGAAGCTGTTGCTGACTGTAGCAATTTTAAATCCCAGCATTTGCATTTGGTTGATACAGATGTATGTATGTATGTATGTATATACATTTAATTGTGTGTATGCATCCCATCCGATCCCATCCGAATCAAACTATCACTTGTAGAAGCATTTGTATGTCTATGTGCTTTTACATGTGCATGTGTGTATGCATGGGACGTGCACATTGGCTGCCTACCTCAACTAAGAATTGTCTGAACGATTTTGGGTTCGAATTGAGAATGCGCGCTTTTATTTTAGTATCTGTCTAACTAAAGTGACAAGTGCATTTGCCAATTCTTTGTGGCACTGTGACCGGCGAGTAACTCATAGACATATGTATATAGTTGTGTGTGGTATAGTGACTGGCGGGTAACTCGCGCTTATATTGAAACACCTGATTCAATTTCAATGGTCGTGGGTTGCCTAACAGAAGGAATTTAAAAACAAGTAAGAAAGCTCTAGTCGAGACTGCTCGACTACGAGATCCCCTG